GTTTTATTGTTTCTTCTCGTCTTCCTATTTCTTTTTCTTCTCTCCTGTGTGTGTGTGTGTGTGTGTGTGTGTGTGTGCATGGGGAGGGGATTTTCTCTAGGGCGCCCAGACTTTTCTGGATGTGTAGTCTAGCTGATACCTGCGAGGGACTGTCCAGCGAAAACACGGCCCTAAGAGTAGAATGTGAAGCCCAGGAAGCCGAAATAGCACAGCTTCGACATTTTATTCAGTTGTCTGTCACAAAACCTGATCTTTATCCTGGTCAACAGCGTGTTAAGCTTAATAAAGGTCTCAACGTGTTTCCTGAAAAGGCGTGGCAGCAGTTGAATAGTGAGACACCACACATTGATGAAGCCGCTGTGATTTCCGCCCTACAAGAGCAGCTGAATACTAAAAACAAGCAATTGAGTGAATGCCTACAGGAAATTGCGGATCTTAAGAATTGCTTCAAGGATGACACCTCGGGTTGCACAAATACACACGACGAGAATACAGCCCATCTCTTGTCCCAGATCAATTTTTTGCACAATGAAGTTGATCGACTAGAGCAACAGGTGGCAACTGTTCGTGCAGAGGGTGCGAGAGAGGCACGTACTCTTGCCGGGGAATTTAATGAAAAGCTTGACCAGAAGGAAAAGGAGAGTCGCGCTGCTACTGAACAGCCAAGGGCAAGAAAAAAACGAGGTACTGAAGGAGAGGACCTTGTTGTCCGTTGCAAAACGCTTGAAAATCAGCTTGCTATTGCCCTGTCAGAAAAAAATTCCTTGCTTATCGAGAAGAATGAACATTGTACAAGGATCCGAAAACTCGAGGCAACCCTGAAAGAACGTAGATCCGAAGTTTCAGAAGTTCAGAAGTTGGCATCACATGAATCTGTGGCGACTGGAATACAAATTAGGAGCCTGCAGGAAGTCATTCAGGTGTTATCGGATGAACGCTCCTCACTTCAAAAACAGCTTGCTCAACTCCGTGGTGGGTTGGATGTTGAAAAAATTCATGCTGAAACTCAAACTGAGCAGAACTTACTTGATGCTTCTACTCAAGTGGATTGCTTGCATGTAGCCGAAAAGGAATGTCAGGTGAATTCCGTAACGTGCTCTACTGACTGTGGTACACAATCTGTCCAGGGTTTAACGCACATGTTGGAGCTTAAGTGCACCGAATGTGATGATTTACGGGCTAGAATCGATGCCCTTACTTTTGCTCATCGAGAAGTTCTTTCAGCCGCTGAAGTAACGAAAAATTCTCTGGCAGATGAAGTTGAGAGAAGGAAGTTCCTTAGTGACGATGCAGAAAAGTTGTCTTTGCAGTTGCGCTCTTTGCAGCAAAAGTGCAGTCAGCAGGCGGCAACTGAGAGAGAATTACAGGCAAGAATCACTCTGGTCGAGGAGCAAAAGCAGCAGTTGCGTATGAATTCCATGAGCATTGAACGCGATAAAAGCGGCCTGGAAGAGCGGCTACAACAGTATCAAAAAGACATGGAACAACTTGTGGCAAATAAAAACTACAGCAATCAACAAGTAGGGCAACTCGCTAATGAAAACGAAAGACTCCTAGCTGAGGTCCAGCGTCTACATCAGCGTGAGGCGCAGCTGGCATACTCTTTGAAGGCCAAGGATGGAGAGTTGCGTGAAATTCTTTCTGCGTATCAAAATGCTGTAAAGGAAGCGGAATCGCAAGTGGAAGCTCAACGCACCATAGAACGTGAATTAGAAGCTACTCGTGCAACATTAGCCTCTAAAGAACAATGTATAATCTACCTACAAGAACAGTTAAATCAAATGCATCATAGAGATCAACAACTTTCGTTGGACTTGCAGACGTTTGAATACGAAAATAGTCAACTTCATCGCAGACTTGTACAAACAGAGGCGTTGATAACACAATTGGAAGCCAAGTGTAATGAGCTGCAACAAGTTTCTTTGGCCAAGGACAGGACAAGTGAAGAGCTACAACAAAGCCTTGCTGAACTCAGCAAACAGGTTGCCTTAAAGGAAAATGAATGCATGCTTCTTCGTCATCGATCTGAATCGCTTCAGCGCGACCTCTCACGTCTACAATCTGTTTATGAAGCCGAGTCACATCGTTTGAGGGAGCTGGAGAACGCAAACGCCCGTCTTATTGTAAGGGGAATGATGAGTGGAGACAGCGACAATGGGCCCAATCCACTTCATGCAGAGCTGGAGGCTACTAAAGAGGCAGTTCGAGAGAAGAGCGTAGCTCTTCAAAATATACAGGAGCAGTTGAGAAAAGAGAAGGATGAAAGGGCAAAATGCATGCAAGCGTTGGATGACGTGCAAGCCTCCTTGGAGGAGGCACTGCTTTCCAAGGAACGGCTACAGCAGGTGGTTTTGGATCAAGCTGCCACCCTGTCTCATTTGTCTCAGTAGTACCGGTGTATTCTACTCATTATTTGGAAACACTGTTCCCTCTCCTTCTTTTCGGGTGGGTGGTTTCTGTGGCTCTTCGTGTGGTTTGTTTGTTTGCTTGTTTTTTTTTTTGTTCATTCTATAAAAAATGGTGAAACGAAGAATGATTTTCTGTTGAACTCCTTCCCAAGAGGCAAAAGTAAAATTCCAAAAAAAAACTGACTCGTAACTGCGTTAATCTCTCTTCTTGGAGTTTCTCTTAGTGTGTGTTACCAAGAATGTACAGTGTCGCAGCCTACATTCATGCAATCTTGTTGTTTTGCGTGTCATCCGTGGGGATGATGCTGAGCAATAAGCTCGCCGTGACGGCGCTCCCGCTGCCGTGTACGCTGGTATTGTTGCAGATGTTCGCCACACTTGCGTTGCTGCTTCCATTCCGGTCAAATGTGGAGGCAATGACGCTTAAAAATGCACGCGCGTGGATTCCAGTGGCGTCCCTGTTTGCCTTTATGCTGTATACTAGTATGAAGAGCTTTGTTTATGCGAACGTTCCTACGCTCATTATCATACGCAACCTTGGCTCCATCGTCACGACGGTCGCGGAGTACTATGTGCTTTGCGAAGGCGTGAATGCTGAGATTATTTTGGCACAAGTCGCCATTTTTTGCGGAGCCGTGGTGTATGGCTGGACGAACTCCACCTTTTCTGTGATTGGACTGGTGTGGATGCTCGCAAACGTTGTCGGACAAGGCTGCTATGGAATTCTTGTGAAGCACATGACGAGCAGTGTGCCGGGGTTTGTGTTCGCCACAAAGTACACTCTGGCATTGTACAATAACGTTATCGCCATTCCGGCGATTTTCCTCCTCTTCGTCGTTGAGGAACAGCAACGCGTGGGTGTGCTCCTGCCCACCGTTGTGGGTGTTGGTTGGTTCTGGATCGGAGTTACGTGTGTTCTCGGCTTCATGATTTCAACTTCAGGGTTCGCCCTCCAAAAGCTTGTATCGGCCGCCACATTCATAGTAATTAACAACCTGACAAAATTTTTAAATATTCTTATCGGACTTTTCATCTTGCATGATCGCATGGGGCTTGCCGACGGCGCTGGCTGCGTCATTGCTCTCGTTGCAGGCGCCTGGTACTCCGCCGCGCGCTACCGCTTCAAAACGCCGGATGCAGAGGAGGAGAAAAAGGTGGAGCTCCCGAAGGAGGAATCCGTATAGACGAGTATTGACATATCGACATCTAAGTACTATTGTTATGTGTGTATATATATATATTGCTGTGTGTATTACCTTTGCTTGTGTTTCTACTGGGGTTTCCTCTGCGAAGTGCGAAGGAACGGGAATGTAGACACCCTCCCAGTAGAGCGGGTGACGTGCGTTGTCTATTGCCCCATTTATTATTATTATTATTATTATGTGTGTGTGTGTGATTTCTCAAACTATAAGTTCGCGCAACTCCTTGCCGCATTGTCGTAAAGGGTGCTTTGCCACGGCTTCTACAAGGAATTCCCCCTTGCTCCCTCCCCCATACGCATACTGAGGAAAATAAAGAGAGAGGAAATAAAGCACAATAACTACTTTGTGTATGATTGCTTTTTCTGTTGTTGTTGTGCTGTCGCACAGCAGCGTACAACCTCGGTGTTGAGACTCACGTCATGGTGAGCTCCATTTATGGGCTAGCTGGTATTGACTCATAGTTTGGCGTCCGGCCTTTTTCTGCCCTTAACCTTGCCACTCTCTAACCTTGTACATTCCTCTTGCAGGCGCAGAGCCCTCTCGGTAGTTATGGAGTCCATCTTTTGCGTCGAGCAGGTCAACGTTCCCCCTGAACTGGGGACGATCATGAAGCAATACACAAAGGCTGTCCTCCGCGATAGACCGCAGGATCTCTACAAGTACAGCGCTAACTTTTTTGCGGCGCTTTGTGGTCAGGCTGCTCCCTTTGACAAGGACGGACATTTTGTCGAAGCACGCGAGCAGGAGGCGATGGAGCACTTTGCGGACGCCGAACTCGAGCACGTTGAAGCCGCGAATCCCACACCCTCCGCAGATTATGAGAGCAACGAGGCTGTCCGAGAAGTCTTTAACAGGTACGATGCCCACGGCGATGGCCGGTTGGCCGCAGAGAAGCTGCCGGCATTGCTGGCAGATCTGCAACGAGCTGTCGGGCTTAATGAGTCCGAGGCCGTCGATGAGGAAGAGCTTTTGGAGCTTCTCGAAACGGACGAAAATGGCATGGTCGATCTTTTGGAGTTCCGTCAGCTGTTTTTTCAGTCCGTTGAGCTTTTATTAGAGAACGCGGAATAGGCGCTGCCGTTTCTCTTTGTCTTGCTTACTTGCAATGTAGGACTGAAGTGGCGACGCATCTCGCCCGTGCGCAAAACCGGCTTTGAGCAACTGTGCTTTCCATCGCCGTCATGTATGTTGTTGTTGTTTGTTTGTATGATTTCTCTCACTGGGTTCTGAGCTGGAGTAGTGAAGGAATACCTTTGTGCGTGTGTGTGTGTGTGTGTGTGTTGTTGCTGCTGTTAGTTAGTTAGTTAGTTGGCGCCCTCTCTTTGTTATTGGTATTACGGTTATTACGGCTACAGCGTGGCACTAGTCAATGAGTAAGAATCCCCCCGCACAAAAGGAGAAGTTGAAGGCGGTCGTCATATCGACTGCCCAAGAGTTAAACGTCGATGTAGATTTACGGCGATTGCATGAGGCGTGTAGTTCCCTCGGCGACTACATCGCACCGTTCATGAAGCGTGTCAGGTTGGAGCTGCAACGCGTCAAGGACGGCGAGCAGGCGGATGTTCCCGTGGTTCCTTTATTTATCCACGGTGCAATTCCGTACGGCGAGATAAAAACCCTCTTTTTAGATGTTCTCTCCACCTACCCGTTTCTTCGCGTCATTCAGCTGCACCGCTGCGCCGTCGGCGATGACGGTATTCTTACCATTGTAGAGTTTATCCGATCGTACAGACCGTCGCCGGATCGAAATCCGTTTGGCATACAATGCCTTGAGGTCCCTGAATGCCTTATAGGGCCCGCTGGAGCCAAGCACATTGCCAAACTACTGAGCGAAAGCGACACCATCACGCGGTGCATGCTCGACTTCAACCCCTTAGGTGACGCCGGTGCTCAGGCCATCGCCAACGCAGTGCGATGGAACGGGACACTGGAGGATCTTTCGCTGCAGTACTGCGGCGTCGGAGCCTCCGGTGCGGAGGCCCTGGCGGAGGGGGTGCTGCGATGCTCCAACGTTCGTGTCTTTTCGCTTCGAGGCAACCCCATAGGGCCTGAGGGGATGAAACGCATTGGGGCTGCCCTTGGCATAGGCGGGCGCATTGAGGCTATTGACGTCGCCGGCACCGGCTTCGGTGGGTCGTACCAGGCGGTGGAGGCGTTTTGCCAAGGTGCGGAAAGTAGCGTTTCCCTCACAGCGGTGGACATGGACTACAACGTGCTGGTGCCGGAGGCGGCTGCGTTGATTGCGTCTGTGGTGTCACGAAACAAGCGCCTAGTCCAGTTTCGCGTCAATGAACGCATGGATGCGCAGCAGTTTCTCATGATACAGAACGCGCTTGAACAGAATGGCAAAGGTGCCAAGAAGAAGAAGAAGCGGCGTTCGAAGGCGTGAGAAACGGGATTCGCAGGGTTATCCTCCATGTAGAGAACCGGTGTCTTGGTCCCCCCTCCCGCTCGCTCGCGACAAGGCGAGGAAGTAGGGCAGAGACACAAACTGCATATAGATAGTATACATGCGTGTGTGTGTGAAACGAGCTCAACTCTGTCCATGACAAAAAAAAAATGAAAAAAAAATGGACGAACAGAATCGTCTTTCCAACTTCTTGCGTCTCTCGCTCTCTCTCTCTACCTCTGTGGGTGTGTCTGCCTGCGCATTGCTCAGTTTCTCCCTTTCTTTGCGAAGTTGGGGGAGGGGAGAAAGCGGAGCACACACATACACACACACACACATACATACATTACTGGCGAAAAGGAGAGAAACGGAAGGCAACGGGCTGTGATGGTGCTTGTTTTCTCAGTGGTGAACAGGGGAGAAGGTCGCAGTGTAGAGAGGAGGCATGAACGGTATCAATTTTACGCCTACAATGGAAACGTCGCGGTGTTTTACGACCCCCGACAAGGCCTACCCGAAGCCGAGGTTGCGTGTGAGGCGAACAAAGACCTCTCACTGGAGGAGGCTCCTGCGCACCCATTCTTTGTGTGCTCGTTCGACGCCCTTTGGGACACCACGAAGGAGGACACCAGCCCAAAGAAGAATGGGGAACAAGAGTTGCTGGAGGTGCTCATGGCCGACGTGAGTGCGCGTGTCGCGGTACGCGAAAACGTCACCATTGTCAACCGAGGAGCTCATGCGGATCGCTTCGTTGAACGGGTTTTGCGCTCGCTGCAAAAGAGCGTCGAACAGGCAGCGGAGAACGCCATGCAGTTTGTGGCCGATGAGTTGGCGAAGGAAAAACAGATGCAGCGCCTGCTTCAACTGGAAAATGAGTCCAATCTGCATATGTTAAAGGACTACGCCAAGAGCGTCAATGAGGTGGCAAGGCCCGCCCCCACAGGCCTCAAGATCTCCGCCAAGCTGTCACGGAACTTGCGACGACTTCGGAGGCAAAAGCTGCACTTTCTCGTTTCCAGGCAGAAGGCGGCGGCGAGGTTCACCATATTGACAGCCGCACATCACGGAGAGCTGGTGCCACCATGCATGCGGGGCTCGTGTCTGACGCCAGAGTCTTTCGCGGCCATCCCGCCAATGCGAGTCACACCGTCAAGCCCAAGCTCACGCCGTGCCAGGGCTGCGACCACGAAAAGTTCCCACCTCGGTTACCGGGCGCAGCGACGATCCACTCTGAGCATCCTGGAGGTCCTCGGCGAGGAAGCCGAGGCGGACGCCGTTGAGCCTCTGAAAGGCAATGGATGGGGGAGGGAGATGCACTACTATGTATTTGACGGTAGCACCTCCCTCTTGGGGCTTCCAGGGATACCAAAGTTTGAGGATGTCATAAAGGGGTTTACGGTGGATTTCTGGTTCAGAGTGGATTCATCAGAAACGGAGGGAAAGCGTGTCTTGATTCACATCATGGACGGCCAACGGGCGGGACTTGGCCAACTGTTTCAGATCAGTTTGACTCGCCATGAGCACATGTATGAGGCGATTTGCGTGTACGTCCGTGACAGCACCAACCGGGTTTTGGAGTGTTTAATGCCACTGAAATCGCACATCGCATCCACAGACGGTGAACCGTGTTTTCATCACTTTCTCCTCAACGTCCAGAGCCTGGAAGAAGGAAATCTGGAGTGCACGCTCGATGGTCATCCCGCGGGGCTACAAATTGTGCAGCAGGAGTACCCAATCTACTTTAACGCGTGGCCACACCGCCTTTTTGTTGGGGGATACATGGACGAATCGAACAGGCCCACCTGCGTGTTCCATGGGGCCATTTGTGAACTACGATTTGCGGTCAACACGGCGGATGGTCCCACGACAATTATTCGATGGCCGCTGTTTGCGGATGGAGAAAAGTTGAAGGAACTCATGCACACCATTCCGGAAGAACACCATGAGACGTTATTAAACCTTGAGCGGAGGGTGGGTCCTTGCCCACTGACTGCACCCTTTTTGGATGGTAATCTTGTGGTGAATTTGGGGCCGCTTGGCATTCTTGGCGAGCTGCTCTGCAATTGGAGGCTGGAAATCCGATTTCGAACGAATGTGAGCAATCGGACGATGAGTTTGCTTGGTGTTACCGACCGACAGTGCAGAATGCAGGAATTGGGTATTGTGATGAATGCCGAGCCCGTTTTTGGAAAGGAGCGCTTTCGCTACCATGAGTTTAATATTACCTTGTACCTCGTGGATGCCTTTGGCGCATGCTGCTCAGCGCTGCTTCGCGGCAGCGAGCACCAGAACTTGATGGATGACCAGTGGCACACCTTGATATGGAAATGTATCGATAGTGAGGCAAACACGTACAGGGTGAAGGTGGATGGCGTGGTGCAGGAGCTCCTCTACCTGGTGCGGGAGGGACCGCGGCGGTTTGTTCCCTTTGAGGACTGGGTCTGTCTGGGGGGCCACAACACCCGCAACCACAAGGTGCAACGGCCGTTTTATGGTGAAATTGGTCGGTGTTTTATCTCCGTGCGTGGGGTGCCGCTTGCGACGCTGAACATGGATGAGGGACCAGGGGCCTACGTGCTTCAAGACACCTCCGGCCGCCACCACCACGGACTTTTGATCAGCCCCGTGACAAATGCCATTCGACGCCATGACGTTTACTGGTTTCCATACCTGGAGGATTCCATGGGCGATGCAGGCGACATTAACGGCGCGGATGGGATCATCATCCATAAGAACAACAACGTCTCCGTGGCGGCGGTTGTCTTCACCTGCGAGTTTGACGCTGTCGGGGTCGCACGTGAGGTGGTGTATGATTTCTTGGGCGAAGCCTGCGTGGAGCCGCAGGTTGTGGAGAACCACATCTCTGACGAGCGTCCTCAGTGGAAGACGTGGCGGTCCCTGCCTGACAGCTGCTTCAGGCCCCTCAGCACCCTCGTGCAGTTGGAGGAGGCGGTGAACACCACACTCTCCTGTGAAAAACCGCTTGGGCACGTCATGTTTGTCATCCGAATTGGAGACTGTCATGTGACGTTGCTGAACCTGCACGGCCCCGTGCTTCCCCCGGACGCGATATACAATCACAACGTGCTGAAGTGGCAGTACGCCTACGCCGTCTCGGGCACCAAAGGAAGGCGGGAGCTCCTCCTCAACCGCATGCTGCAGGGTGTGGAGAGCGTCCTTCTGAGCGACACGCTTACCCCCTTTATGACCAAAAGGCTGGGCCCCTTGAACGTGCACGAAAGCAGTATCGTGACGGAGGACATTATTCGGTCCATGCAGAATAGCGGAAGACCATGGTTTCTGAGTGCGGTGCTGCACAATCACCTGCTCAATGCCGAATATGGATCCCACGTTCACCTCATCCACCACTTTATGGATCGCATGACGGCGGATGAGGCGGCGTCGGTCGCACTCTTCAACCGACGTCTCTTCAACGCAACGAAGGAGAGGGCGTCAATTTTGATTCAGCGTAATTGGCGGGCGCGAGAGGCACGAATGGCGGTCATGCGCCTTCAGTGCGAAAGGGAAATCCGGGAGCGAAAGGTGGAGGAGATAAATGCACTGCGACTGAACCCTCTGCTGAAGGCAAAGGAAACCCTCACCGCGTTGCTCGTCACACTGCATCAGATTGACTGTGAAGCAATTCCACCCATCACCGATGGCATTGACGAGCTGTCGGCGGCGCTCGCCAACAACGGCTACGAGGTCACTTACTTGCCCAACGCCTCCAGGGCAGCACTGATGAAGGCGCTTTCGGAGCTGGATGAAAGTACATCCAGCTTTGTTTACATCAGTGGATATGGTGGGCTGATGAGTGTTCGCCAGCCGCTGCTCTTTTCTCTGCATAGCCTGCATATTTCGATCTCAGAGGGTGCCCAGCGGGCGGCTCTTGAAGCAGAGTGTGGAACGGCATACCGCAGAATTATGCAAGAGTTCCACGAGGAGCATCCGCCTCCAAAGGTGCGAAAGGGAAAGCGTAAGGCGAGCAAGGCCCCACCTAGCAAAAAGGCTTTGCAGGAGGCAGAGTTAGCTGCGCGGCAAAGGGAAGAATTGTTCCGGATGGCTGTTGCGGAACTTGAAAAGGAAGAGGCAGCTACGCGTGGGGTAACTGGAGAGGAGTACGACACTGAGGTGTTAATGCTTATGCGAGAAATAAAACTAGCCACCGAAGCCACGGAGGAATACGAGCGCATATACAAGAAAGATCCTCATTGGATGCATTTTGTGCTTCCATGTGAAGCCAAACTCATTGAGCCGTATGCAAACACCGTTTATGCTGTGGAGGAGCTAATGAACATTGCCCTCCAACGACAATTACCCCCTTTGGGTCTTCAGCGGATTGTGGCCATGGATTTGGAGCCCATCACCCCCATTTCTTGCGGCTCTGCCTGGGTGGCCAGCAGCACGGGGTACTCGTTGAAGTTTGTGTATCAACCGCAGCAGCGTCGCATCATGTCCAGATACCTTCTAAAGGCCTTTGAGGGCCGTTTGCCGTGTGTTCCAGCGCATTCCAGGTACGCGGTGCTAAAGGGCGGCATTGAAACAAAACCGAATGAGCGAGACTGGCGGTCCTTTGCGACGTATTTGGTCTCAAAGATGGGGTCGGTATGCGACAAGGAGGTGCTCGCCGAGCTGCGGGGGGAGCTCGAGCGGGAGGTGCCGTTTACGGCGGAACTTATTCCTGTGCGGGGAATTGTTTTGGACCCGGAGGCGCGTACCAAGCTGCAGCGAGAGAGGGAGACAAAAGAAGTGCATGCCATCTTGCGCTACGGCGTGGGCAGCTCTCATGTACAGGCCGACATGTTCAGCGTCTTCAAGGACGTCATCGCATTCGGCGTCCCCCTGAAGGAAATCACGTTCAAGAACACACTTTACATCCTGTTTGCGCACAGCAACAGCGGCATCGACGGCCTTGTCAGGGGGTCGCTCCTGAAGGAAATAGAGAAGTGTCGTCCGGGCGGGTGCGACGTCCCGATTAGCGTCACCACCACCGCATGGGGTATGCGTCTCCACTTCGATAGCAAAGACCCCGAGAAGAGGGTGTACATCTCGCAGTGGGCCAGTGCCATTGTGGTGCGGAGTCTCTCCTGGCAGATCCCAGTGATGCCGGTCTTCGGGTATCGTATGCGGGAGGTGGACCATGTGGAGTACCTGTACGAAGTGAAAGTCACCTGCTCCCTGCGCAACTTTCAGCGTTTGCAGAAGCAGCAGCACTTGCAGCCTCTCCCAATGACGTATTCGCGCTATCTGGCGTGCGAACTGGCCCCTGGTTCGTCGTAGCGTGCGAAGAAAACGCTAGAGAAAAGTCTACAATGTAAATGTATCCACCCCTCACCCCGCCCCACCCCACTCTTTTTTTCCACCCTCTTCCCTTCAGCCTGACGACGTTGCTGTTGTTGTTGTTCTGCCAGTGAGGGGGATTGTGGCGTACAGCCCGGGGTGCCCTGCTTGGAGGCTCTGAGGGGCAAGGGAGGGAGAGCGGCGGCGGCGGCGGCGGCGTAGCGGGGCTCGTGTTGGCCAACCACACGTACGCGCGCACAGAGGGAGTGAGAGAAGGAGAGCGAGAGACAAAAACAACAACAGGTAACATGCTCCTTTTGTTCATTTTCTTCTCTTGCGCCCTCGGTTTGCCAATTTTGTTGTTCTTCGCCCGGCTCGCGCGCTCGCCACCG